TTCATGGTGATATTCGGAATCAGCATCGTCGACTACCTATAGTCCACTCGGTTTCGTTGAAAAAGCGATTTATCAGTTGGGGTACTTCCCTCGTTAGTCAAGTTTTACAAGAAAAATTTTGTTCATTTATTGCACGAGTGTTATTAGGACAAGTCTGTAAAAAATTACTCTGTGTATATTCTAAGAAAAGTATTTATGATACGTTCTAATCATCAATTATTATTGAACGCTGTTTACTATTCATACCAATTGATTGTTGTTGTGAATTTTAGCGTTTTATTTTTGCTGTGATGAGAATCAAATTGTACTTTAAACGGGTTTAAAAACTTTTATTTTATAATTATGACAAATAATAGAAGTAAATAAAATTTAATTGTTTTAATTTGTTTTATTTGTGATGCTGATTGCACTGCTCCATGCAACATTAAATCTAATAATGTATTAAATTCATTCATTTGGTCTAGTTCACTAGCTAATTCATCTTCATCATCTTTCATAGTCCGTGTTTTATTTGTGGTTGTTGTTGATAGGATGACATTGACATTGTTATCGTCTTCTAGTTCAAATTCTTCTTTCATTGCACTTATTAGAGGAAATTTTGTTCCATGTTTCTTACAAAAATTTCCATGAAAATCATCCATATCTAATGTCCAAATCATTGCACCACCAAATTGTTCACGTTTTACATATTTACACTAAAAGACGAAAAGAAAAACACTTGATTTTGTGTTCTGATAGTTTAAGTTTCAGAATATAATGAAAATTTATATTCGCAATTTCGTTCTGATTCAAGATTAAAATTTAAACCAAAAGAAAAACTGACAATGAAAATGTGTTAATCAAGAGTACATACTTTATTTCTAACTGAATCTGGATCATCATATCCGATCCATGTTCCATCTTTAAAACTAACTGGTATCTGATGTTGTTTATGCCAATAACGTTTAAAGCCTTCCTTAGCTTCTTTTCGACAAATCTAATATGAGAAAGCATCATAAAGAGATAAGATAAGTCTAATCTAGATTTACCTCAAAATAAGCCAACAGACCACTTTCTCCAAGATATGGTGACGATACTCCTCCACTACCTCCACCAGATTGTCCAAATGCTTTTAATGGATTATTACCACTAGCTGAAAATGCTCGACCATAACCGGGAATACCAATATGAAGTTTTTCACGAGGACAACCGCGTGTTACCCAATTATACATCGAGGTATTCTGTTTAAAAAACAAAAAAATCGCGATTGTAAAATAGATCATAATAGCAACAGCAAAAACAGTCATCTTCTTACCGTATTTAGTTCTCTTTCCATTCCCGTTTCTCCTTCTCGATGGTAGAGTGCACTATGGTGTCCAATTTTATTATGCCAGGAACCATAAAGGTCATAAGTCATCACATTAATCATATCCAAATACCTAGTTTAAAAACCACGAGAGTTTGAAGATACCTTTTATTTTTCAAATAAACCGATCTTACTTGCATAATACTGGTACATCATACCCTTTTTTAATTAAAAATTCACCAGCAGCCGTTGCTATACTGATTAATAAACGTTCTTTATTCGATTTTTTTGCTTCTTTTTTAAATATTTTATACATCGTCTGGAAAGTAATAAAAACAATAGAAATTGTAGACAAAAATAAACAAAAATGAGAAAAAAAACTATTCTAGATGAACAGTTACTTAAAAAGATACTTTGGCCAGTAAGCCAAAACGTTCTTTTTGATCAGCACCAGGAAATTCCCAATCCTAAGATAACAATAAAATATAGTTGTGTATAAAAGAGCAATGATATAGCTTACAAGGTCAACACCATCAAATCCATGTTGTCGACAAAATTTAATCACATTTTTGCTGAATGATTCTCTTTGAAAAAATATGAATAGGAAACATGGTTAATAACTACTCACTCGATTATTAGTGAATTACTATTCATTTTAAAATAGATGAATCTTCGATATTTTTCTCAAAATAATTTATGAACAAAAATTTACCGTACGAATATTATGGATTCTCTTTTATAAATTGTTTGCTGTAAAATGCGAGTCAAGGAAGACATTTTCAGTCGTGTTCAGATATTACATTGAATTTCTTAGGAATTTTTCGACACTAATCTTCATTTACTGTGGAATAACCGTGAAAACACACGGAACAGAAATCATCGACAAGTGTCGAAGTGTGGTAGTTATATTGATTTTCGAAAAAAATCAAAAAGAAAATAGAAAAAAATTCTCCTAATGAACCTACTGGAAATTTGAGTATGAGAAAACAGATTTTTTACTTCAGATTATTCTCACCGAAAATTGAATGAGTCATATCTCACGTAGACGACTTGTCCAAAAGTAGCGCTGTGATATTTTTGATTCCGTAATCTGCATTTTTTCCGAAAACTGTAGGAGCTAGAAAGTCCATTCTGATGCCATTCGATGCAGCTCACCAATCTCTACTTACGATATAAAAATGAAGATTTTCGGATCAAGACTCGAGCTTCCAGAAAGATTTTTCGGCGAGTAACGCTGTGACAGAAAAGGTCCTATTTTTGAGAACTCCTGATACAGGTCTGATTTCCTGCGAATTAACCTATGCATCTGAAAAGTTTCTAGAGGCAAGTTTGTAGAGGAGCTAACGGGCTTTCCCCCCGTTTATACTCCCCTTTTATCACACATCCGTGGGTAATCACTGTTTTGTCAAAAATTCAATATCTCAAGAAAGGAACATTATTTTAGGCTGAAATTTTCAGGGTAGTATAAGTGTCATCAGAGTTATCTATTATGATAATTTCGGATCCAAATTCGTACGTTTACTTATCCAGGCATGCGGGCTCCATAATGTCTGAAATCCAGTAAAATAGGCATAACTCTTGAAGGAATAACTCTCAACTCAAATCCTTTTAGGGTTTTTATCAGGGCACTATATGCCGTCTTCTGACAAAGTTTCATTGAAATCTGAGGGGGACACCTGAGGAGGTTCCCTCGTTAGCCTATTGAATATCGAAAATTCGGGCGCTTTTTGGTTCTCGAATTATATATAGGGGTGGCTCTTTACTTGTTACTCGGTGTTACTTTACCAGTAAAGTAACAAAAATTTGCTACGTGTTACTAGTAATTAGTTACAACAGATGCAGATTTGTTAGTTTGTTACTACTGTAGTAACAAGTAACGAAGTTGTTACTTCTTACTAGTAACAAAGAACAAGTTATTTTTTGTTTTCTCAGAAAAACTCTTTTGAAAAGGATTTTGTGAGGGTGAGGGTGAGGATGAAATATCTGTTACAAGATTTTGGAACGTCTGACAAAGAAGTATTTAAAATATTACTCAAAAGCAAATATTTCAAATACTTCTTTATCAGACGTTCCAAAATCTTTTAGCAGGTATTCTACCCTCACCCTCACAAAACCCTTTTCGAAAGAGTTTTTCTGGGAAAACAAAAAATACTTGTTCTTTGTTACTTTACCAAGAGTAACAAAGTAACGAACATTTGTTACTAGTAACAAGTAACAACTTCGTTATTTATTACTAGTAACAAACTAACAAATTTGCATCTGTTGTTACTAATTACTAGTAACAAGTAACAAAATTGTTACTTGTTACTAGTAACAGTAATGGTAAACAGCCAGCCCTAGTTATATACAGCAGTATCAGTGGACATTCTATTTTGAAATGGATAGTAATATATCGCATCATAAATCCTGTGAATTAGTTACGGTAGTCTGTGTTTTCGAGCGAGACAGAAAAGGGTCCAGGTATCGAATAATTCATCAATAAAGTGAGTGTGTACGATTTTTTATATCGGATATCAGATTTGATTGATGTTGTATGCCTACCTTGCCTCATTTGAGCCTACTAACGAATCAAATTCGCCAGCTTTCCCCCATCCTCCACATGATATTAAAACTTTTAAATCTGGATTTTGTTCTTTCAACTTCATTATTCTTGGATAGAGAGGCTATAATAGAATATAATTTGTTGAAATTTCAAAAACAACTTCGCACTTCTCACTTGTTCTCCTTGATAAACTTGTAAATCATTTGCTATTTGTGCTTGTAAGTTTTGTCCACTAAGTGTCGCAAATGCATACAAAATATGTGTACATAAATTGGCTGGAATATCTTCCGGGTACAATCGAGCTTCTTTCATCGAACGATGTGCACCCCAATTGGTAAAATAACATATACGTCGATATTTTGGTTCTATAATTTATAAGAGACCTACTAAAAACTGTACAATGAAATAGAATACTTACGTGATGAATAACTCATTGAAAGCGAAATAGAGATGATGACTAGGTGATACATGATCATGATTTTTTTGTTAAAAATGACAGTAACGATGATAATGATTTTTTTTCTATCAACAATGTCCGTCAAAAACATTTTGACATTTACATTTGACTTTTGATCGTTTGTTTCTTCTGTTTGAACTAAATAATAGGAGTTTGTAAAGTTATGTAATCTTTATATATTGACGTAAGAATGACAAGTATATACGAGTCTGTATGTAATAGAAAAAAAGTTAATCTTTCCAATGAAACATTCGTTTTTGTTCGTTGTTACTAACGTACACAAAATTTAGATCCAATTCTAATGCTCTATTATTTCTTATTAAATAACTTACATGGTATATGTAATAAGTATCAATTTTTAAAAAGCTACAATGATTTTTCAAAGATGTTTTCAATCACATAAACAAAAACAAATGTAATGCTTGATGGTGTTTTATATGATGCAGCGTTGATGACTAGAAGAAAGGATTTCTACAGATAACAAATCTCTTACATAATCACCCATATGGTTACTAGTTATCAACTGAGTTTCCGACTGACTGACCGTATAAGCTATGAAGGCTAACCGTAGGATGGAATGCAGTGAGTATGCTAACAGATGCTTGATTTGAGGCAGTAAAACAAACGTAATTTGTTTATAGTCACATGACTTGACAATGCCGAGATTCGGAAACAGTCCCTTTGAAATGCTATAAGTGAAACAAACCATTTATTCTGTAATTCTGAGTGGAGAGAGTTTTCGCTAAAACTTGACGAAATAACACTTTACTAGCAATACCACCAGGATTTCATAAGCTGAAGGCACGTTTTTGCCGTGTGACACATCAATGACGGTTTCACTTTCGTAGTTACTACTATCAGCTAAAGTCAGTTTCTTTTTTACGGTAGTTGATATTAAACTCGATAGAGCTGCAAGTGCAAGTTGAGCGATGCCGCTGAAGGGTTAATGGATTCGTCATCATCAACTTCTCGCAGATGCACAAGATGCAGGCCACCACAATGATCAAGCACACTACTCATCACATCCAGTCTCGTTCCGAACATCAACACAAATTCGTTTTTCGTTCGGGTAGCATGTATATGACCAGATGTTCTTTCCCTTCAGTGCTTCGATCGCAAACAGTGTGCTAGCAGTGCCTAGGTGGTCCTTGATCAAGTTCAGCGAGGCAGAACAGGAATTAACCGACCACCATGTCACCAGCTGTCTCTGTTTAAAACTTCTACTGATGTCAGCGCCGACACCTCACCATAATGATAGTTGGTAGACGGCAGTTTATTGAGAGCAGTAGCAATCAGTCTCAATTAGAGAAATCACGGCTTTAACGCCGAACGATTCTCATCTCGTAGTGCTTTGTTCAATATCCAGTAGAAGCTATGATCACCCCACTCCATCGTGTACAAATACATGGCTGCTGGCTCATCTTTTGTTAACAGATGCGACGAATGACAGTGTTGTTTCGCGATTGCAATATAGTGCTGTGGATTGTCGATGAGTGGTATGATTTTGTCAAGTGATACTTCCAATGATACGAGTGATGAACTGAGATAACCATAGACGGGTGGCAGTGTATTGTTTTCACTATCAATGCCATAATATCCAATACTCATGTTTCAACTCGAAGAAAGAATCGAAAAGAGTATTAGTTGAAATAGAACGAACTCGGTTTGTGTCAACGTGGCGTGGAAAGAAAAATTTATTCAAATGAAGCAGTGTTCTTCAAACGATTTCAGAAACAAAGCTCCAATAAGTGATAAATGTGAGATTATTGACGTGTTAAACTGTGTTTTAATAGCATGCAGAGGGAGAAAACGCCTTTTGCGCTATAGCTCCCATGTGACAGAACGAAATGAGAATTGCCATGGTTGTGAGATGAAGAAATTTTCATGCATCTCTTTTCACATTGCTTTAGTATAAACATGTCTGAAGAAAAGTAATTATTGGTTTACGAAAAACACCTTATTCTTAATCCCTCTTCGGTGCCATATATGAGTCTGTCATATAAGTTTATATTTGTAATATTATTCTTGATATCGATAATTTAATTCGTATAACGAGAATATCCTTAAAATACTTGACGGCAATACTGATTTCAATAACTATACGACTTGGTAGATCTCTACAAAAATCGCCACGTCGTGAGGATTGTGAGGAGTCGATCATTCAGGGGGGTCGAACACCTATGTCCTCACTTTGTTTCGAGATTCCCCAATGTAAAATACGCGACATCCGGCGGTCTATGGAAAAGTCCCAGCATTCCCGAACAGTGGCAGATTTCGATCTAGGACTTACGCAGTTTCGTAGAACAATGTCTGGTAATGCGAACCTATCCATCGCCATTCAAAATCCGAAACTGGTTTAGTGCACACTAAAAAAATTTTGATTTTCGCAATTGATTTTCGCACCACACCAAACCTTGGCCGAACTTTTGTGACAAAGAAACCACCCAAGCACATATTTCACCCTCAGAACCATCATGCAACACCGTAGGAAAAGAAAACTCCTGCCGCAAACGTTACATGTCTTGCTCCTGCCTACTCACTGCCACCACGGCTCACATTCACCACGCATTATCGTATGTCAAATCGTACTACCAAACAGTATTTTTATTAATTTTTGTTTAACCATAGCCTAGAAACCCCAATCCAATTAGTTTTAAAAACAAACTTCTTCCAGTTCCAACAATTCGCCTAAAAAATGCTTCATTTCTGCTTCTATCCTCATGCGTCCAATATGTTTCGTTTTCACGCAAAACCAAAAAAGTCTGTTTTCAATGTTTTCTACTAAAAAACTGGTTGAATGCCCGTGCTGATGCATTTATACGAGTTGAGAAGGTGCTAGAGTGTCCGCCATCCGCTCCATGTCCAAATCTTTCTATGCTTAGGTATCCGACTTTTCATTGGTTCTCTCTCTATTTTTTCTTTCATTGGTTCTTTTTAACATGTTCTTTCTGGCTATATAAGCTGCACGTTTTTATTATATTTTTGTACCAACGTATACTGAAGACGATATTCGAAATGCATATATACGTATAATTTATTTTGTACTCGTTAGCATTTTTCTGTCATCCCCTCTTCACTTATATTTTTATACAAAAAAAGGGTTTTGTACCAAAACAAAAAAAGTATTTTAAATTTTTTATATGGCATTCTATCTCCAACATCAACACTTGTTACTGGTACAAAAAACGAATTGTAAAATCACAACAATCAATGCGATCAATCACACTGACATCCATCGTTCCATTATTACTGCTCGTTGCACTTGTCTCAGCCAACAGTGAACAGCAAGGATCCAAACGTAATGCACGGTTCAATCAAATGCAGGGTTATCCAAAATTCGTGAGCCCTCTCAGCAAAATCGTACGTTCGCCTTTAGAGTAAATCCAAAAATGCTCAAACTTCGGTATCTTATCTCAGATATCTCGACAAATATTATCCCTAAAATTCGTGTTGCTATTAACTTTTTGTTTGGCATCTCGAGCGCTACCCATAAAATATCGTTCATATTCTTGCTGGTGTTTTTCACCATCATATTTTATTTCGAAAAAGTAGTTGCGTAAGACAAATGCGTGTTTATTAAAAACAAATTAATAAATATATAAAACAAAATACAAAGAAACGGTTTTCATAAAACGCAATAATTTTATTTATTGAATATATTATAAAAGTAAATATCTATAACTAAAACCGAACTAAAAACTATAAATAATGCATAGGACATGGTATCACTTCATATATTTAAATTATTGGGGACTGAAGACTAAAACACTGTAAAAATATCTAAAATAAAGAAACTTCTAAACGCTTTAGTTGTTTGACATTGACGACATACTTATCTAAATGCTTCAAAAATTCCATGCTTTCGCTGTTCTCGCAATAAAACATACATTTGAAAATAATTTTGATCATTCTGATCTAAAACGAGATAAAAAGAAACAACTGAAGTGCGTTTTATCTTCAATAAAACTTTTCAAGCCACACTGATATCATTCTTTGGCACATTTTGGACAAGCATGACAGTTTAACAAAGATAGAACGTGAAAGAGAAAACGACCTTATATTTGTGTCAATTTTCGACTAAGACTAAGACTATTTTATTCACGAAAAGTGTGAGGGTCGAAAAGGCTGACTTGGAATTACATAGAAAATTCGGCTTCTTATGCGGTGCTACTATCCATATCATGTGAAAGGATCCCGCTGGATAAGATTGAATATCTGCCATTTCTATGAACGACCACTTCCAGTATATGGTTAGAAAGCCCTGACTTTGACGCAGATGAATCTGATGTTCGATTCTCAAAACATTACACTTATGCTCTTAATCTTCATGAAACTATAGAAACTTCTTTTATGTTAAATTCGTCTATAATCATAAGTTCTAAACCAAACTTGATAAAACTTCGACCGCACGCTTATTTTGATTAGCTAGCTCTGTAGCTGAAGCGATCAAATAAGAACTCCCGAAGTAGAGAGAACGATCCGAGACCACAAACCATTGACAGATATCAAGTCTATTTTCTTCGTTTGTTTGAAATGTCGACTTTCGATGAATTAGTCTTCGATCGGTCAATGGTTCGTTCCTCTCGTCGATGT